ACGCAGGCTCCATCAGTTGAGAATGGAAGATAAGCACCACCGGTTGAGTCAGTCATAGCTGGCCAAGCGAAACCTTTAAAACTTAATTCAGCTGTTGGGTTCATTATTTCTCGAATCATAGTGCTTAAATAATTTCTTAGCACTGTATATTTTTGTTTTAATAAAAGTCAAACATCTAAAATAGTTTATTTACTTTAACTTGCTTTACTTTGTTGACTTCTCAAGGATTCCAAAGTCTTTGGCATGTTCATTTAATTTTCATCTTGTACGTCCCGAAATACTGTACTCAAATGCCAGCAACTCACAATACTAATCTTACATATATGTTTACAATGGGCACAACTCCCTAAATTTAAGAATTTGCCATCAGTTGAAAGATGGATCATGCCAAGAGGTCATGAGCCAATTTCTATGCAGAACTCTGGCTATTTTATTTTTTTTTGCTCTAACTTGGTATTCAGGGTGGGGGAGAACTTCTGCATTCCCATCTTACAAAAGAACTACCCATTACATTAAAACATGATGGAATTGTGGAAAATTTTTGCATGTAAATTAAGGACCAAATCAGCTTCAAAAAATTTGGGGAAGAAAATCATATGGGTCCTTGACTTATTTGAAAAAAGTAGTCCATAAAACCTAACAGAAATGATAAATTCAAGTGTAGATTATTTCATAGAAGTTTCCTGTTGCACAAAGGACAACCACCTGCTGATATTGTACATGTAGCTTAATTCAAGTTCAAGTGACTATTAAAATGTTTTAGCATCAGCCAACTATGAAAACAACCCAACACTGGAGAAAGATTATAGAATTAGTAATTTCCCAAAGAAATACTGGAGCTAGATTAGGATTGGGATCCTTCCATTGAATTATTTTACTACTTTGTCTACATTGTGCTGCTCTTCTGTTCTGTGTGTGTGTGTGTGTATGCATATGTCTGTCAATCTGTCTGTTTATCTATCTGTTTCTTTGTCTGTTTCTCTCTCTCTCTCCCTCTCCCTCCCCCCTCTCTTCCTGAGTAGCTACTGATGGATTCTTGATTATTTCCTTACCCTTACATGATTTTCTTCAGTTTTCAACTTTAATATACCTATTTTTTTTTAAAAAAACTTCATTTTCTGTAATGAGCATTCCTCATCTGTCAGGGAATTTAGCCCCTTTTGTGTCCTGGCTGCTTTGCTGCTTTTCAGAAAGAATACAGATAAAGAAGTTTTTTATTCCATTGTTCCTCAGTAAATCTAAAGATGTAAAAGGAATGTTCTCAACGAAAGGATGGACAGTGGTTGCAAAGAATAGGTTCTCCCCTGGAGTGTGAGAAAATGCAATAATAGGGATGGGGTAGGTTTAAGGATGCCCACTCCTGTAAACCAAAAGATTAAACCATCACATATCTTCATAGCAGATGCAAATATGTGCTGCATTGTAGCTTATGCAGACTAAGACAGAAGTGTTAGGAAGCAAATTATAGGTTATACAATTTTGCAATAAATTAATTAACTGCCCAAACCCAACCTTTAGATATGCCTCCCAAATATGTTTTGGGATCCTCTTGGGAACATCAAATATATAATTCTTTTAATATACATTTTCACAGATTTAGAATAATGCTGTTGATAAGAAAAAATAGCTAGTTGATAGAATTTAACTTCTCTACATCTTTCATCTCACCATTTTTAGACCTTCCTGATTATACAACAATTCAATACATTATATAAGAAAAAAAGATCTATACTCATAGATAGTAAAAACATTTTATATTTGAATAAAAATTACATGATAGGATGAAGATTGTGAAACTATATAATATGGACGGATAGGATGGAAGGAAGGAAATTCCTTTAATTAACATAAATTGTTCATAAACATAATTTTTCCGGTAAGAAATGCTACATTTCCACTGGAGAAAGAATTCTGTGTACTTCCATTTCCTTACTTTTAAAATTAACTGTTGGATTGTCCTAATCTTTACAACATGTTGTGTATTTGACTGAATTAAAGATTAAGAAATTTAGAGCTAAAATGAAAAAAGAGCGATTGGTTTATTTGATCAAGATTAAAATTAGACTTTTTTTTTTTGACAATTGTCTTTATGGACTTTTTTCTATACCAGAATTGAAAAGTTGATATGCCATAGATTTGCCTATAGATAAGAGTAGGAATATGAGATGAAGAGATATCTGTTCTCTTAAATTGAATAAAAAGTTCTTAAATTTGCTTGTGCTTGTTGCGATTGTTTGAAGTCATTTATTACTGTAATTTTATTATATTCTATATTGTTTTTACTTTTTCTTCTTTCTTTTTTTCTTTTACACAAGCACTTTTTTGGAAAATATATCAAATTATTCTTTACAGGTACACTTGTACCTATTCTGTATAAACAAGAGTACCCACAAGTAATGGAGATGTTTCTGTTGAAATGATAGAATCCGTTCTTGTCTTCTAGAGTTGTTTTTTGAGTAATGCACTAGTTGAACCCCAGACTTTCTGGAAAATACATATATATAGTGTTATCAACCTACTCCCAGCAATTGTTACCCTTTATTTTATTTTTATGCAGCTACCTTCTCTCTTATTTTGAAGACAACAACAGGAAAATTTGGAAAGAAAAATTAAATTACCAAGCACACCTAGTTCTTTTTCACAGAATGCAATACACATGCATCAGTTGAATCCCAGCCTTTTGCGGAATTAAAGGCTGAATGCAACAGCCTAAATGAAACTTTATCTTGCCATTTGTTGTTTTTATTGGATTGCAGCCAGTGCAAACATTTGCAGGTGGCCAAGCCATATTTTGACACTCAGCTATCTACAGTTGTGATTAAAATCAGAATACTGCTAAAGTGGGATTTTCTACAGCCTTCTGTTCCTGATTCTGTTCCCCCTTTAAATACACTAAGACCATGACAACACTGCTAAAAAGTTTAAAGTTCATGACCAAGCATATTTGTGCTGTTTGTGTTCATTATATGTTTTTAAAAAAATCTTCCCAAGGTATTACATTCTTCTAATTAGTTATGTGCCAAACAATACTCTACCATAACTAATCTTGCATTATATTAAAATAGAAACCTGAAATTCCAAATGAAATAGCCCTTTGTGCTTAAGAAATGTTAAAAATATGGATAAAATTATCAAAGTGAAATCATTTTGATTGTACTATTTAACTTTTCCCAGAAAGCTTGATCAGTCAAGGTAAGGAGTGCAAAAGGAAACTTCTATCCAAGGATTATGTGAAAATGAATACTGAATGCTTATATATGCAAAAAAATTAAGACTTTATATGTTTTATATTTCCCTAAAATTTTTACAGATTACCAATTAAATGAGTATTCAAGCGATATAAACATTCAACCTAAAAAAATAATAAGATGACTGACCCAACAATAATAACAAAACAGCAACATTCACTGAGGAATGTATGAATGAAAACATACAGGTACATTTGCTGATATAGAAAAATCATATGATAAAATGAGTAGGCATGAATTTGTTGATACTATATGCTGATTTTCCTCAATTTTAGCAACTTAAAGATGTGTAGACTACAAATCATAAAATTTCCTATCCAGCAAGAGAAGTTAAATCAGAATATCCCCTTTGATGTTTAATGAATTCAAGCATGTGTATGGTTAATATTTCCGATTATATGAAAAGTCTGTGACTTAGAGATGAAAATGGATCCATACTTTGTAATATATGAAGTGTACTGCAAAGCATAGATACAGCAGACTCTATATCTACCCAGCGCAGATGATGCCAGATTGTTGGCTGAGGTGATGCTGAATGTACACTTGGACAGAATATACACTGTCGATGGATGTTTTAAAGTACATGGTGATTAAATACAAATGGGAGTGACCAGGACAAAATACATTAATATTAAAGAGAGAAAACAAAGTCAAATGTAATAAAAATATATGAAGTGTGAAGAGAGCGAAAAGAAAGAGTGAATCAAAAACATGGTGGCTTAAGATACTCAAAAAGTGAATAGGTTTAAAAAATAACAAAAATGTATGAAGCAGTATATAAACATAGGGGAAACAATGTTAATTTATGAGAAATTGTGAAGTATGAAGAAAAGTGATGGGGTAAATTACATTTAGTTATATTTCTTTTTTTATAACCTGCCTTTAGTTCCTTTGGTTTATTATTTCTTACTTATTTCCTATAGTTTTCATAATGTTGCTTACTTTGAAAGGGAATATTGTAATGAATATGTAATACATAGTAGTAGCATTAATCACAATAAAATCATAAAATGACATTGGGAAGAAATAAAACTCAACATAACATGCTTATCTAAAAGCACCATAATAAGACATTGATATGACCTTCTAAGGCAGGAAAGTTCTGCAACTGAAGAACAGCAGCAAAAAATGATCTGTATCAATTTCCAACCTAAATAATATTGCTATCAAATATGTGAGCAGAGAAATTCTTGAAGCAGTATTGACAATTTATAAGGGCGGGGGGGGGGGGGAATCACTAGAATAGGAAGGATAATCTAGGCCGGTGTTTATAATTTTAGCAACTCTTAAGATTTGTCGACTACAACTCCCAGAATTCCTCAAGCAGCAGGCCTGATCTAGGCCAGTAGTGCACAGTTCATCTAATCAAAGCTTAGTGTGTAAAATTATTTATGGTTGCTTAACAAGAGTTGATCAAACACATACATACCCTCTTATACATCCCCCCATGTATATGCACATACAGAAAGACATACAGTGCATAAACAATGACGTTTTTATATTATACGCCAGAGCATCCTAGCTACATTTTATAAAGTATAATAATTCAGCAACAATGCCTGCACTGTTAGAGATATGTATATATTTAAGTTATAAAAGTGACAATAAAAGATAAAGTTCACTCTCCACACCTGGTGTCATATGCTGGTGAAGCCATCAATACAAACAAAATGAACCCTTCTTCTACTTTACAGAAATATTAAGTGAAAGTTTGCATCCATAATATTTTAGAATTAGTGAGGATGTACTTGCCCAATCTGCCGATTTGTTGAAGGTGCTTGTGTTATGACTGAACTTGATTGTGGTGACGGCATGGCTTGTTGAATCACAATGCTGGTGTCGTGGTTTGGCATCCTGGGATTAGAGAGCTGGTGCACCCCTGGTGCTGCCATAGCATCTCCCACACGGTTATGCATTGGAATATTCTGTAGAAAGGAGAGGTGGGAAGAGACAGAGAAAGACGGAGACAGAAAATTAGATGCTAACGTTTGCTTAGATTTTTCTTATATTTAAAACTACAGATTGGCCAATAGGATACACTTAAAACATGTTGTTGACCAACAGTGTTTCAACTGATTTTATTCTAGCCAGCTCTAAAGAAATGATAATGCACTGCTTTTACAGTGTAAAATGCTGAAACTAAAAATAGATAATATATGTAAAAATAATTGAAAATACTGTCCAGAGTCATAATTTCTAATGCAGACATTTTGTGCCTAACCATTGCTTGTGTTCACTATATATTTCATTTGAAAATGATTTCCAAAAGTTGGTGTAAAACATCTTGATTTACAGCAACATTCTTCCCGATGCTATGTTTATTGCATTGGCAATAAACATCATTGTGCAACAGAAGAGTATTATTTGACTTAAGTTTTTTTGTTGCTGTTTTGCTATTGTGCTATCAGTAATATTTACTAATGAATAAATTTTAGGTGTAATACAATATTAGCTCAGAGGATGACTTAGTTCAGAGAAAAAAAGAGATAGATTTGAATATTTCTAACTTAAGGCTAACAAAAGGAACCATCTCAAAGGATGAGACTCTTGAGTGCACATATAAAGTTTACAAACATAAAATTGTACCTCTTACACCTCTATCCACTATTGCTAACTGCAAAATGTTGCATGGTAGGAGAAATAATGTGCTAAATGAAGAAGAAATGTGTGAATAAAGCTAGTGTTTAGTTTTAGTACAGTTCAGTTAATCAATAAAGCCAAAATTTGTGTGGTTGTAATAGGGAGGGGAGAAGCAAAGTTTACAATAGTAGTAAGAGGCATAAGAGGCTATCAAATGTGTGACATATTTAGGGTTATTGTTTGTCTTACATAGAATTTGATGTTTCCTTTTGAAATATTCCAATTAATTATTATTCTTTACTGCAGAAAAAAGAACTTTAATATTTGTGATTTATATAAATAAGCTTGGTTGTTTTCTTGTAGATATTTCATTACCAAATTAAGTAACATTATTGGTGGTGGACAGAAATGGGGTTTGCCCTATTTATATAGTAGTGGTGTGCATTTTCAGTATTGATAGTTCCTTGTTTAGGGTGTTGTTGACTGTTGTTTGTTTAAGTTGGTATTCCTTGATTTGGAGTATTGTTTACTTCTTGATAATTGATCTAGTATTAATCATGGTGATAGCATCTGCTAATCTGGGTATTAATTGTTGGTGAAGAGATGTTTTGATCTTTTTTTTTCTCCTTTGGGTTGGTTCTTTTTTAAGGATTTGTTTAATTAGGTTAAGCATAAATTAAGGTCATCAGTCTGGATTTTGTTTATTTTAAAAAAATTAATCTATAGTTTTAATATTTTAATATATTGTAATTATTTTTCTTTTATAATCTGTGAGCTGCCCAGAATCACTTTATAGGGGAGATGGGTTGATAAAAATTTAATAAATAATAATAACACATCTTTATAAATATTTGCATATGATGCCTTAATCTCACACCCTAATAACTCTTAAAAGTTTTTTTTCTCATAGCTCTCGTTAACATCTTACAAGAAAATGTACTTCTATTTTTTTTCAAAAATATTTTTTTTCTGAAATTCTTAATAATGGAATATGGTGTTATTGGATTTATTTAGTTATGAAGTAGCCAAGATGTGTGTGTGTGTGTGTGTGTGTGTGTGTGTGTGTGTGTGTCTTTCCCATGTTGATCTTTTCAGACTGGGGAATGTAGGAAACATACATTCTAAAGATCTAAACTGTATTATTGGCTGGAGATGACAGGCTAAATCATGTTTTATTGTTTTGGTCTTTTGTATGTTCTTGTAAAGTCATCTAGAATCAATGGATCCTTAAAATCAATCTTCCACAGAATACACTATAAGCAGGGGTAGGATTCAAATTTCTTAACAACTGGTTCTGTGGGCATGGCTTAAATTGTGGGGGTGGTTTGGTGGTCATGTGACTGGGTGTATGTGGCTTGCTGGGTGGGCGAGGCTTGCTGGTCATGTGACTGGCTGGGCATGGCTTGGAGGTCACATGACTGGGTGGGCATGGCCAACTTTAAGTCATTTGCTTGGGTGTTGCCTGTATGGGCCAGGAGGAAAGAAAGATCCAACCTCTGTTTGTGTGTGTGTGTGAGAGGGAGTGGGCGGGGGTTAGTTTTTTAAAAAGCCCAGAGGAGGGGAAAAGATAAAGTTGTGCCAAAGAAATCCCAGGGTGTGGGCAAAGAAAGAAAAGGAATCCCTGCTCTGAAAAGGGAGTACCCTCCCAAGAAAACAAACGAGTCAAAAGCTTATTTACTCATACTTTTAAACATTAATTTAACAGACATTAAAAAGCAATTTCATTTTCACTTTCCCAGGTTCAAGTCTCTTTGCTTAACATATGTGATATGTTAACTTATTTATACCCCTCTATGTTGTTAAGCACTAGGAATTCTCTTCTTAACTAGATTTAAGAAAAGCATTAAGTTAGTGGTAATCTTCTATATCTCACAGGCAATGAATTAGTATAGATTCTCTCTCTCTCTTTCCCTGTCTCTCTCTATATCTTGCCTCTCTCTTTCTTTCCCTCCCTGCCACCCCACTTTCTCTTTCTCTCTTGTCTCTCTTTCTCTCCCTTCCTCTCTCTCTGTGTGTGTCTCTCTATCCATGGGAGCGGGGAAGGAACCTCTGAACTGGTGATGGGGTGATGGGAATCTGGTGTCCTGAAGACCAGATGGCTGGCTGGCGAAGACTTCTCATGAGGAGGAAGAGAAGTGAGCTGGAAAGAGATTTGACGGGCGGCAGAGGGGTGCAGAGGAGCAGCGAGGGCTTAACGTAAGGAGGAAGAGAAGTTTGCTGGGAGGAGATTTGAGAGGCGACATGGGTTTAGTTCTCTGCCTCCGTGGTCCAGGCAGCCACGCAAGCAAGCCATCTGCCGGCTGCCTCTAATCTGCCTGCCCACACCCAGCTACTGCACCCTCAACCATGCTTCCCCCTTGCCTTTCTCCTTGCCACTCCTGGCCAATGGTGCTCATGAGTAAACTGCAGTTAGGAATCTCAAATACAGTCAAGAGTGTTGTAGCCACTGGCTTGGGCTACTAAACAGGCAGCCAAACTAAGTGTGAGAAAGACCCCATCTCATCACTGGGAGTCCAGGCGTCTTGGTGATTGGCAAGCAGCTGGGCTCCCCAAGAGATAAGGAGTTTGCAGGAGACTGGTCTACCACTGGCTACAAGTTCACAAAGTTCATTCTCATCTGTATTTGAGATTCCTAGCTGCAACAGACAGCAAACCTAGCCAGGGTTGACCTCAGCAGCTTCTCTCTGCTGGAGAGCTGCCCGACTTACAGCTCCAAGCCCAAAGCAGCAGGCTTCATGGGCTGCCTTGACCCAACCAACTTTGGGCTGTTAGTGGTCCTTGGAGGATGTGCTCAAATTGGCACTGAGACCAGGGCCCCAGGAGGGCTTAGGCGAAGACTTTTTTACAGCTTTCTTTCTGCCTGGCAGAAGCAGAGATGGGCAGTTGGCCCAAGAGCACCCAGCACCCCAGCGCAGCACTCTCACAAGGGCTGCCCTGATCAAAATGAATTTCCATTACTGTATTACTATTGTTATATTTCAGGAAAGAATAGACATTTCTGAGAAAGGTTCAACATCCTTGGTGGTACTTTGATCTAGGTTGTTTTGTTGTAGACATTTCACTACCCAAACTAGGCAACTAGCCCTGATGACATTACCTAGTTTGGGTAATGAAATGTCTGCAAGAAAACTGCCAAGCTCTGAGAGCACCAGAGACCCTTCATTTCAACTATGACTTACCAATATTTGCAACATATTTTCATGAAACCATGGAATTTCGAGGGAGAAGCTAAACTATCATTTTATGAACATTTAAAGAATTAAACCCTGCTTGTCCCTGTGTCATGTGCTGTATCTCACAAAAGAAATAACAATTTATATCTAGGAATAGTGGTTAAACTTCTGCCCAGACTCTGTAGATTCTGATGCTGGGCCCAGAAAATTTTCTGTAGGTTTCTTTTAATTTTACCAAAAAAAGGGAGAATCTGTTCTAGAAATTATTTCAAAGCAGACTTTTTGCAAAGCCTTCATAGATAAAGGATAGATGCTGTTGCACTTGTTTCATTGCAAAATTGGCCAAGAAGTATGTGCAAGTGTACCACTTTTCCTCATATAAAACACAGATTTAGACATCCTGCTCTCAACTGAACTTTTTCAATGGTGGTGCAATTATTATTGTGGGTCTTGTGTAGCCCTTGAGTAAATGTTGGAAGTTTTCTCTTCTCTGGGACAAATTCTGAAAAAAATTGTCCATCCAATGTCTTAGTTCACAGGTTTAATCAAGACTTCAAAACAAATGCTTGTGCCCAGTTCTACAGATACCATCGGACAACTCTGAAAAGTATGCCCCATTAATCAGCTTTCACTACTCTGATTAAGTGACTAGTGTGAATACTTTCATGGAATGTATCATATTTATGGAAACTGTATCTGATAATAGCACAATTGCCAGATTTCTAAGACCCCAAAAGTCACAATTAAATTTGACAAAACTCCCAACCTTCCTATTTTTTCTCAGGATTGAACTTCAGTACCAGTGTTATAAAACCTGAGGCAATCTTGCTTTATTTTATTTTAGTGCAGGCACTTTGCTCTGCTATAATAACGAACAATATACAAACTGAGAGTCTTCTAAGTAAATCTTCTAGGTAAAACTTCATCTGCCAGATTTGAAAATAAAATCCCAGACAATATCCTTCTATTAACTTAGTCATAATTGGGGGAACCTTATTATCTTCTCAAAGGGAGGCTCATCATACAACAACCAACACTACTTAATCATCCTAGAAATATTGTTATTTTATAGCTTTATGCTGCCCAAAGTCACATTCTGTGAAGTAGCTGAGATATAAATATGATTTTAAAATAAATAAATGCAGCACATTCTGAATAGCAAAAACTATGTC